TATATAATAACATAAGACTTAAAAATATGTTTAGACGCCGACTTTTGCAACTTCTGACCAACTTTAGTGACTGCTGTACAACTTTACTACTGACGACTGAATGCCACGACTGCTGCTTACGACTGTTGAAAAACGACTATCCCACGACTTCTTCTTAATTACACCTTCGCCTGATCGGGGGTGCCAACTGATGATAATGGCACAAGGATGCCACTTTACATAAATACTATAGTAATTTTGAGGATATAACAGTTTAAGTAACTATCTCCTAAGGGGCTATTAGCTACTAGCTTCTACATTAAAAGTAATACACTTGATAGATGGATATAACTAGGGAAGCCAACGTACGTGTGCACTCATCTTGAAAGGCATACCCTTAAAGTTGTGGACTTAGCTGACTACTTACAATTTTGGTTTCGAGCTCTCTCTCTCTCTATATTTATGAAAATATGAGTTGTCGGCTCCATCTTGCACGCTCCGGACATAAAACGCAGAAGTGAGTCGCGGCGTTGGATGTTCAGTGCATTGCAGTGTGGATGTCTCCCGAGTGGGTGAATAAGTTGGCATTTGTATGCGTGAATTGTAAACGAATATAAAAATATGAAAAAATATTTTGCTCACAGGCTAAAATTACTCAACCATGTGGGAGCGTAATAGTAAGAACTCGGAGGAGCGGCTGACAGCTACACATCATGCCAATTGTCACTTGTGTGTGGCAAGTAATGAAAAAAACACAAAAAACTTGCACTGCCTCGCACTTAATTTACATTGTTTTTTATGTGTGTCGTGCATTGTTTCGCTAAAATCAGCATAAAAATAACGCACCTGAAAAGCATACTACTTACTATGTGATATTTGAAGTGAAAACAACACTTTGTCGTCGAATACGCGCCTCAGTCATTATAGTCGTAACAACGCAACCAGTTCTTTTTATCATTTTTTCTTCCTACATTCCTATTATCTGCGATCGTTCAAAATATGTTAGTGGGAGTTTTATTTTATTCTAAAACTATCACACTGAAATTCTCTGTATTTTAGACTATTTGCAATTTGCTTTCTAATTTTCTGTATCCACCAATGAATTTAGAACAGAGGTAGAATTTTCACATTATCATTCAAGCACATTTGAATAAAAACATATTGATATTCGACGCCTCCATCTTTATTCAATACTAGAAACATTTACAATTGCTCTTGAATCCCAGGACCCTGAGGTATTTTCAATGTGCCTGTGAAAAAGTAACTTGATATTTTGCGCCACCAATTGCAATAAAAGTATCAGTTACATTCTAAATTGTCATAAATGGTTTGGCCGGTTGACTACTTCAGAAAAAGAACATATCGGCGCATCACCAAAAAAAGAAGAAGAAGAATAAATTGGCATTCTTTGTATTTTATTGAATCTCGGCGAAATTGTTAGCTTTTTAGTAAATTTTCCGCAACTTTTTATTTGTCGAGCCTGGATCATTGAAAATTCCCAAAAGTTTCGGTTTGTTGTCTTAGTAAAGTCTAAGAACGAGGCAGCTATATGTTCGATTATTAAATTATCCATTAACTCTCTAAGTAATGGCCAACATTTTAAAGGAATTTATATGAAACAACATTTTCTTTGTCAAACAATTTATCACAATTATCGCATTTTAGTTAATTATAGATATTAATAATAACATGGTAGACACAAACCATCGGTTTATTCAAAATGAATAAATAGTCTTTAAGTTAGAAGAAATTTGTTGGGTATTTTTTTACTCTTCCTTTTTCTGTACTTTCTTATCTAAAATCATTCTCTGTAGAAAAACTGCCTGTATTAAATCTTCTGTATTTTAACTTATAGAGTGAGTGCTAGTTTTAGTTTCTAGTTGTCTCGTTGAGACATTATAGGGGGAGAGCTCCGTTCCTTGCGTGGAGCTGGGAAAGTCGCCAAATTGATGAGCGTCTGCTAACTTCTGTGTAGAGCATATTTCGAACCACACAGTTTTTAAGTAAAGGGAGACCAAAATGTACAAGGATTTATGTTAAAACATGAATATATTTTTGAAGTATTTTTAGCGCATCGACAAAGCCTCCTTTGTGGTACGTGGCTTTCCACATAATTTAATTATCGAAATTTCATGTAAATCATTTAGTTTCCATATGGCTTGTGTCTCCAAATTCCTCAAGGCAGGCTCATAACTACCTATCGGCTTTGCAATTCCCCAGCAGCTTGTCGTGCAGTTCAAAGGACAATCCATGGCCAAAGCCAAAGTACATCATACATAAGTCCAAGAGCCTGCAGCTGCTTAGGGGCCCACATACTCGTAGTATGATTACTCGCAAACAGCACACATCCCGAATACCCCAGCCAGTATTCATTCAGTCAGTCACGCGACTGGGGCGCACACAGGTGCAGCAGCAACTAAAGTGGGGCACAATTTGTTGATTATGTTTCTTTTATATACTCGTACTCGTACTCGTACTTGTCCTCCGACTCAACAATTGTGGCTGAGCTTATGGCTGCCTTGCATTTGACATTTTCACAGGCACTTTTACATTGTATGGGGAAAAATATGTTTTTAAAATGCGGTGGCCATTGTGGGCATTGTCTCAGTCACTTGTGTGTATTTTCTTAACAAGCATAAGCAGCTTGGCGTGCCCATAAAACCGAAATCAATTATGAAAACATTACGAGTAGTTGCGCTAAATGGCTTTTATGGTACGCCAACGCTGACGCCAATGCCAAAGCCAAAGTCAAAATCAACGTCTGTGAAGGGCTGTTGGCAACTCAGCAGCTTGGCTTCGCTTTGTTTTTCTTGCCATATAAATATGTATGTGTGGGCCTGTGTCTGCGTGTGTGTGTGTGTAATAATATGCAGCGAATTTCCACTCGAATTCTTTTGAACTAATATGATGCTGTGTGGGGATCCATTTGGAAGCATATTATATGCCCTGGCCACAAGTGCAAAACGAGAGCGTGCACGAAAATGAGCAAAATGGCAAAATGACAAAGAAAAAAGAAGAAAAAAAAAACAATAAACAAAAATAAAATAAAAATCTAAGCTCGGCACTTGCAGAACTCGACTACGGGCACTTTCCGGTTTGATTTCGTTCATCCGGTCATGGACGCGCCTGCATCCTACGAGGTTATGCATGAGTCCGAGTCCGAGTCCGACGAACTTCTGTTGCTGCTATTCACGCTACTGTAAACCAAACACGTAGCAGGCTAAAACAAAGTTAATTAGATTTGTTGCAAGACGACCATTATAGAAGCCAAATGGTTGCCGCTTCACCGATTCCCCGGCTCACCGATACACCGATACACCGATACACCGTCACCGTCTCTACTTGCCACGGAGTTGTGTGCAAATTCCTGTTGTACTTGCCTCCTGTTAATCCATGCCTGGCCCGACACTTTCAAGCCCTTTTTATGGCGCGCCAGTGCAGCTAATTTGAAATTTGTATGCGCCATTTTGTAGAGCCTGTTCGCTTGGAATGGTCCGGTCCTTGACGTGCTCCAATAGGGCCCATGCTAAGTACGCCCCAAAAATGTGCAACGGCAGCAGCAACAGCAGTTCAAAATAATTATAATACTATACACTCGCCAAAACTAAGCACTTCGGCATTAATTTTTTTCTGCATCCTTAAAAGTAATCCTTGAGCTAGAGAGTACTGTAGTTTGTGTACTGTTAGGATGTTACGCAACAAGCCAACACATTTTAAAATACATTTTTTTACATTTATACATTTATTTACTATAAATTTTTATTTTCTAGAATACATATATTGTAACATATTTTTTTCAATGCGTCACTCCACTATCAATTTCAAAAAGGTTTCTATATTTTTTATAAAAATAATATTTGTTCATGTAACTGATCTAAAATATATTCGTAGTAATATAGTTGAACAATTTTTATATAAAGAGCTAAAAATATTTATTTTTATTATTATATCTAGATGTGGTCTTATAGCTATTGAATCTAAAAAGATATGAATTCTAAACTTGGAATTGGAACACTGTGTGTGTTAGTTATAGTTAGTTGTAAATAAAATAAAAATCATTTGAACTCATCTTTGAAATAATCAAATAGGAACTTACATTTTATTTTAAGAGTCATTTAACTTAAAATGAATGATTCGGCCGAGTGGGAAGCCATTAAAAACCCTATCCCGAGAACACACAAGTACCAAGTTTGGTTATAGCTCTATTACTTAGCTTACTACATTTAGTACACCCTTTTACTTCTTGGGTATATAATATATTGAGATCATTATGGAATATGTATATAAATGTATTTAAAGTCAACCAATTCAGATTGTCATCAGTTATTCCTTTACCGGTCAGTCTGGCCTGGCATCTTCTAAAATCATAATATTTTGACAAGCACGTTGAAAATTCTTCATGGATCAGATTAATCAAAAACAAAAGTTATGTTCTGTCAGAGCTGATTGAAAACATATCTTAAATGGAAACTGTGGTTTGATTTACAATTTTTTGCAATTAACATTGTTGATTGTGTATACTCCATTGAGATCGATTTGATCCATTATCCAATTCGATTTCCAGGAATTACAATAGATAGCAATTTGAATAGATATAAAAGTATATAATGCTAATGTATATAGAACATACAACTACATACGCTGAATACACTTACTATAAGTAGCTTACTGTTAGCCATAAATGTAATAAATCTCACATGTTTTTCTCTCTGTGACTTTATATTTCTTCTTTTTGTGCATTTTGTGAAAGTTTTTTCTATTTTACGACTCAAAACCTTCTCATTCGTCTTTGGCCTTTTGCAGCTGAGCAAAGCTAATGCATTTGCCTGAGCATAATGCAAATGTGTCGAGCACTTGGACCAACAGGAAAAACGCAAACGAGCCCAGCAACCATCCTAGGCTAAGCTAGAGAGGCAACTCAACTCAACACAAGGCACCGCAACGCAAGGCAAGGCAAGGCAGAAGCAACCGCAAAGCAAATAGGAAAAGTTATATCATTAAAGTAACAGAAATCGTACATATGTAAATGTCAGCTTGTTAACGGCGCTGGGGCAAAAGTTGAGCCTGACTGATTGAAAATGCAAATTGTGCAGTGAATCAACAGACTTGTGGTATCACCAGCAGAAGTAGAAACAGGAGCAGAAACATCAGCAGCACTATTGCGACCGCCAAAGCAACAAAAACAACAATTACAGCAAGAGGAGTGTTTGTGGCAGACAGTGAAGTGAGAAGTGGATTTGGGGCAGCGGCTAAAAAATATACATATAGACAAAACACAAAGCAATCAACTGCACGCACGTTGCACGGGGCGTATGCGTAACGCGAAGCATTAAAGCTGTTGGAAATGACACTCGCAAAATGTATCGTTGCAAAAACTGGTTTTGTGCGCGCAGCAACAACAACAACTACGTCGATGTTGCACTAAATGAGCCTACGCCCACGCCCGGGCCCACGCCGACGTCTAATAACATCAATAGTGTGCGAAACAAAGGCAATCAGCGCGAGCAACAACACCAACAGCACAACAGCTCGAATCGACCCACCGACGATGAACCACCGCACACACCACCACAGACAACGGGCGCCCATGTGGTCACTTTTTTGGATGATGCACCAAGCGGCAGCAACGGAACTAGCAGTGCTGGCATAACCAGCAGTCGAATCGTGACCACAGCCGAGCTCCACCAGGCCCACATGCTCGAGCATCATTCCAATTTGGATGCCATTGAGCAGGCCGATGATTTCATTTATGGTCCCGGTGCCGGATTGTCGCTTTGCGATGATAGTTTGCCATCGGCTAAGAATTGTTACCGTCTGGTCATGTTGGGGTAGGTGTTATATACTTGTGTATCTGTGTATATCTAGTTATATCTTTGTGTGTGGCTAACAATCTGTCGCTCTTGCAGCTCCTCACGCGCTGGCAAATCGTCGATTGTGGCACGTTTTTTGGGCAATCGGTTTGAGGAGGCCTATACGCCAACCATTGAGGAGTTTCATCGTAAACTGTATCGCATACGAAATGAGGTCTTTCAATTGGACATTTTGGATACTTCTGGCTATCATCCGTTTCCTGCAATGCGTCGTTTGTCATTTCTAACGGGTAAGTGGCACGACAACACAGATACATGTCTATGTGTTCGTGTGTATATGTAGTCGTATGTGTGACTGACTTTGCAATCCACACCAAACTCACGTTTCATCACTTAAGTTGCCGAGTGCCTGACGCTATTTAATGTCCTATAAATTATCATAAAAATCAGGCTCAGCTGTTGTTGAGCAGTCGCTCCTACATCTTTTGCCTTTTGTCACCCACACTCCACCGCATTCACACATACATAGAAGCTGTGCAACTGTGCGTATGCGCAATATTGGATACATATTGATGGCTGCTTCATTTAGTGGCAGCAAATTTGGTGAATACGCAAAGACGACGCATGAACGACACAGATACTCGTATATAACCAAATAAATAAGCCATAAATTAGCATTAACCAAATCAAACGCCGATTAATGTTGATTTAATGTTTAACTAAATTGCAGCACTAAACCTTGAGCTCATATTTTTTCTTTTTACAGGCGATCTTTTCATACTAGTGTTTAGCATGGACTCGCGCGAATCTTTCGAAGAGGTGGTGCGTTTGCGAGAGAACATTCTTGAGACTAAATGGGCTGCGTTGAATCCCGGCTCTGGCTTCAAAAAAAAGAGTTTGCCAAAAATACCCATGATACTGGCGGGCAACAAATGTGACCGAGAATTCAAGTGAGTTAGCAGCGAGTGGCAATTTTTCATCGATCTAGAATTAATGGAGCTCACATAATAGCTGCCATTTGTCCCTTCTTTAAGCCCCAGAAATTTAACTAATTTTGAAACATATAGTAGAACCATTTAGTATAAACAGAGAAAGGGGTCCCAGAACATGTTGGTTCGAAGGAGAAGAGCTTTCAATATTTGCAATTATGATAGGAAGAAACAAACATAATACAAATATGCAGGAAAAAGAAATGTGGATTGTAATAATCTAAAGAGCACTTGGAATTGTCCTATTTATTTTAGCACGGAGCCAGGAAGTTTATTTTGAATTTGGTTTCAGTTTCCAAACGTAAAAACAAAATCTAATCTAATTTCGAATTTGTTTCTATACGCCAACCAACGCTGAGTAACAATAGTAGGAGGTTAAAAGAGAGTAAGAGTGGCTGCACTCTACCGATAAATGTAGATGGAGAACACATCTTAACATCAAATTATCCAGTATGGTCAACTTTACATTCTACGATATATTCATTTTAATTCAAGTCTTAGCTTGACACAATACTACAAAGATATGTCAAAGTAAAATTCTTGGGCAGGAAATAGGTATAAATCTCAGAAGATATGTATTAATCTGTTTAAAATTGCCAGTGGACTGCCTCTAACCCTCATTCAAGTTCAAAATAATTTACAATTACATTGTTATTTTTATTTTTTAAGATTATTTGTTATTTGCGTTATTTGTCTATTAAATGTCTCACTGTCCTTTAACAGAACCGTGCAACTGGACGAGGTCATGGGTTACATAGCGGGTCAGGACAACTGTTGCACCTTTGTGGAGTGTTCGGCTCGTCAGAATTATCGCATCGATGATCTGTTTTATGCACTATTTATGGTCTCGAACTTGCCACTGGAAATGACGCCGAATCATCATCGGCGACTGGTGTCTGTCTTTGGAGCACCGTCGCCCCTGCCACCGCATGGTGCGAATGTGGGCGGTGGCAAAAAGAATGCCCTCTCCATAAAGCGACGTTTCAGCGATGCCTGTGGGGTGGTCACGCCCAATGCTCGACGCCCCAGCATACGCACCGATCTGAATCTAATGCGTTCAAAAACGATGGCGCTAAACGAGGGCGAGGGAGTGCGAACCTCGCGCTGGAACCGCTGTGTCGTAATGTGAAGTAATCCTGATCTCAGAGCCTATTGAGCTCTAGGTTGGGCGACCGGCCTTGTGATAGTAGTGTACGAGAGCAGTGGACACGGTCGGGGGCGGGCATAATTTTAAACGCAGCGTTTGGGTGATTTTGATATTTAATGTAAAAGCGAATAACGTACATACATATACATACTATATACTATATATACAACTTTTTTGCATTATTATTATGTTATAAGCCAACAATGAAAATTACATACTCGTATAAAAAAACTATGATTATTTCCATTTTACAAGTGCTATATGTACATGTCATTTCTGTCTGTCGCACAATTGCAAATATTTACTTTTCCTGCTCAACTAAACATACTTATATACTATACATATGTATATGTATATATAAGTACAACATGTATTTTGTCTAAATTCAATTGTTATATAATGGCACAAGTGTTTATTTTATGCACATATAAAAAATAGGAAATTAAAGAGAGCAGCAGCCGACGACAATAATGTTACAACAAAATTATGTATGTAGTACTATTGCGAATTGTTATTGAATTTAATTTCAAAATTGATAGTAGCAACAAATTCTATACATTTTTAACAGTTAATTTTAGAGTTATTGTTAATTGTTGAAGTTAACTCAGTATTTTATTTCTTGCCCAACATTTTACAAAACATGTCGACATTTGCATATCAGCAAAATCAAATAAAATAATAAAATAAATGAAGAAAACTATTCAAGTGAACCGAAGGAAAGAAAACCAAAGCTATCAAACCAAAACCAAACCAAACTTGACCTAAACTTGACTTGGGTCCAAACAAATTCTATGAACTTGTACACCGAGCAACTTTAAACTAACCTGCTAAATATGTATAAACAAACTCTCAGCTATACATACAGACTATATAACATTTACAAAACTGTAGTGTTAAACCGAATTTACCGGCAATAAATTCGAGATTCAACTAAAAATACTCATACTCATAGGCAAGGGTCGAAATGAAGGTACGCGTTGAACATTTAAATGATACGATTAAACCAAATAAAACATATGCGTTTCTTCGCTGATAACAATAACATTTATAAGATAAACATACATATGGAACAAAGACCAAATTATAGTTATACACAAGCATATATTAAATTAACTGAATTATGCAATTGAGCATGTGCTAACAATTTGTATAAAAGTTACACAGCCACTTGATTTATAAGCATAAATTTGAAATTAAATGAAATTAAATGGAAATCAAAGTGCATATATAGTATATTTACAATTTCATGTTGAATCAGGCACCGACCATTTGGTGTGCACTGACAATGATTTATTATGTCCTTATGTACTAAAATATTTGACCATAAAAATGCGTTTTAAAAATTGCAAGTATGTTAAGTAAACAATTTACCATTTGATGCTTTGGATTTGCATTATTTTAACATTAACAAAATAAATGAAAACTGAATAAAACAATTTGTTGAGACACTCACTTCAGTAGTAACAAAAATTTGGGTTGGTTATTAGAATCTTTAAATTTTGCAAAAGGTCAATATACAATTCGATTATATTTGGGGGCAATGAAATATTTATTTTCTGTATTTCTTTTACCGATCAGATGATTTTTTTATTATTTCTAAAATGCTTTGAGAGACCCTGTACTTCAAAAACTGCGAATATTAATGTTATTATACAGGCCCGTTCTTAGATCAAGCGTAGCTGCATTCTTGCTTCTATAAATAGGTGACAAAATTTGAATCGCAATCAGTTTCCCAGTTTCGTTTTCTCTATTTATGTAATTGTATTTAATGTTGAAGATGCAATAGAAAAATAAATAAAAATATAGTTAGTATCTTGCTTGTTAGTATCTTGAAGTGCTCCATGTGTGCTAGAGTCGAGCGCGCACAATTCTTAAATACCCTGGTATTTATTATTGTCTATTCTTGTATAGTACGAGTTAATGCACAATGGGCAAATTTAATACTCAAATTTAGTAAACAAAATTCCAAGAATTACGGGATTTATGGAAAAATTATTAAAAATATAATTTTATATACACTCATTATACATACACACATATATTGCACAGAACCAATTGATCTTTTCTAATATGAAGACAAAACGAAACGTTCCGTATTAGATTACCATTACATTTCTTATTTTTATTTACACAAATGTGTACGGTCCATTCCTTTTTTAAGCTTCATATTATAACCGCAAAGGATCGGGTTTTTTAGTTCCTTTCCTTTTCAGTATTGGCTTCTTTTCGCTGTCATATTTGATGTTTATACTCTGTACATAAAATGTACAAGAGTATATTAGGTTTTTTTTGTATCACTTGTTTTTCACTCCCTCCGCTGAAATAATAACTCGGATATGGTTTCACGGTATTTACAAATTTGTTGACTCACTGATTTTTCGTTTTGTTAGGATTTTTTTGAAAGTTAGCTTTAACCGCTACCAAAAAGCTTGACGTGTTTAAAAAATGTCCTAAAAGCTGGAAGCTACATTTTAGTACTGTAACTTTACCACGAAGCTTTTACACATATTTTCCAAGTTTCATACCGACATTAGAGCTTTAGGTAAAGCTCTGAATACTCTACCTTGGCCCACCTTACTCGACCCTTGCATTTGTTGCAGCAGCCGGCGAAACAATTGCCAAATTTGGCCCAAGCTTTATCGACCGTTTGATAAGGAGTCGATGTGAATTTTTGTTCCATGTCTTGACATTTAGGAACTTTTGTTACAAGATTACGCTTTAAGTAGACACACGAGCACCCACATGCCATTCATCAAAAATTTTGCACAAATTTAATGCAGCTGCCGGGAACACCTGGATTGTTGCGTGATATTTGAAATGCCGACAAAACAAATCAAAACAGACTCAGTAGCAGAAATGTTGCCGGCATGTCGGCAGGACTGGCAAGAATCTGCAGCACGTCGACATAAATTTAAAAGCATGTGCCTTACAAATTTATGTTTTCGAGACGCGCACAACCTGACAAAATAATTGCCAGTTGTCTCGACAGTCGGTGCCGGCACGTGTCCACACACATCGTCAATGCCGATAGTGTCGAGGACGACGACACATTCACGCCCAATTGAACCGATTAGCAGAGTGGGGGCCGCATGCTGGATTGCAGGACGCTAAAAAGTGCAGTCAATTTTAATTGTTTGTCTGATCGCAGACAGGAGCTATTAATGGGCTTATGGTTTATATGATATACTGCTCTGTGTGGCTTTTGTGCTTAGCTGCCTAACTTATGCACATTCGTCGGTTGTATGTGTGTGTTTGTGTGTGTTTGTGTGTGTGTGAGTATGTAGTGTATTTGGTATGAGCTTGGCACTCGATAATCGCTGCGGTTATTCTGTGGGGGTGTAGGTGGGGCGCCATTGACATGGTCTGCAATTTGCATATGCGGCTGCTCTAAATACTGGTGTTATTGCCATCGCCGCTGCCAATTGCATTACGAAAGCTGAATAATATTTGAAATTATTTGTTGTCGCACATTATGCTATATTGCTCATATTTGGCATCTACCTAATTAATAGTTAAGCGGTATTGGCACGCACACTTTTGCCAAAAGAGCATGCTAATTATCTTATCGGATTAGCAGCATGCAAAAGTTGGTCTAAAGAGAAATTCCCTGACAGGGCTTAGAATTAGCATTCGCACAACGAGAAAGTTTGTATTCCCCAGGCAATTAAATGAGCTGAAAAGCTTGTTACTTTTACCTCGTAATCTTTTATCTTCTTTTTAAAATTATCTTATGGAAAAAGTAGATGATGTAAGAATTATGTCTATCAATATTATGATTACAGTTAGTAACTCTTTGAGTTATAATTAGCACTTCCGGGTGGCATTTTAGCGATATGATTAATACAAATGATACAAATAATACAAACTAAAAAAACAGAAATATTAAATATAATTAAATATTGAAGAATTAAGGAACATACATGACTTTTTTTTTTGATTATATGTATTTTATTGCTACCCACATTAAACGTTTATTGCAGATATCATTGTTTAATTTTGGCCATGGCCAACAAATGTATTTTTTAAAGGATGTGTACAAGTGTGAAAAAAGGCAGCGACTTAATTCAATAAATAAAGACGGAAATTCCATAAAGTATCTATTATTTATATAATACCGATATTTATCTCTACGCTTTTTAAGCTTTTGATTTTCTTTCTGGAGGCTATTAGAAGCAAAATATTAAATTAACCATTTTAATTTTAAATACGTATTTATATGCATATCATATATATAATTTGTTCTCTATTGTTTGAATTTTGTTTGCCTTTAGTGTTGGTAAAGAGGCTTTTTTTAGAAATACTTAAAAAGGATTAACCAAAAAGCCATATATTGAAAAATTGTTCTTTCGATGAAAATTGAGCTGTTAGAGTTACTTTCTGATTTGACTATATATATTTATATCAGAAATTTGATTTATTTAAAAAACGATATCTAATTGATTTAATTAATTTTCCTTTATTTTAGGAACAATTAAGAATGCTTAAATTGACTGCAGGGTACATTTCTTTATCCATTATTACTTGTATATAGTGTGAAACTTATTTTCAAAAAATATTGGGGGTAGTGAACTAACTTGATGCTTTGATAATTTAGTTGTAATTATACTTGTATTTTAAAAATCGTTCAATGAAGTTAAAGTCAACTAGTCTATAGCAGCACTTTAATTAGATTTACTTTAGAAATAAATACAACTATAAAAATACTATAAGTTTTTTTTTTATCCAGAGCTGTATTGCTTTTAATAGCGATAACACATTACAAATTTGAGAACCGTGCACAAAAAATAATTTCCATTGCTAGAATCATTTCAAAATATTTTTCCTAGATCACCATCGGGAACCTTTTAGTCATCCCGCTCATACTTGTATGTATGCCTATAGGTATACAGAATAATTACATGAATGAAATGCTTAAAAAAAATTTAACACTGTGTTACATTCAGTAATTGCGAATGAAAACAACTTGTGAAGCCACAGTTTCTGAAGCTTACTGTCTGGGGCACGTATCAATAAATTCAATATTCAATTACTTAAAATACATATCTCGATATACTCGTACATATACTTGTATAAGCTGTTGTGATTTCGCATTTCATTTGCTTGCCCAATTTCCATTGAAACAAAAATCGATTCGGACGGCAAATGAAATATCATAGTGTTGCCACAAAAAATCTTTCTGTGTGAGTAT